GATTTGCTCAGTATAAAAATGGGAGATAATGACCCATGTACATTTTTTAAAAGTCAATCAGAAAAATCAGCTGTTTTGGCAAATTTCCAAAATACCGCTTTAAAAACGTACCAGTTTCCTTTTATAAGTAAAATACGGCTCCAAACATTTAATAAAGTGGGCATGTGCAGCAATGAATTGGAGTGATAAACTCTGCTATAAAGCCTTTTTGTTCAGAGGCCTGTCACAAATCAGGGTCAGGCACCTTTAGGGTGTTCCCAGCCTTATTCCACGGGAGGAAAGGGATCCTTGGTTTCACTTGGGTTTTCTTTGTCTTTCTCCTTATTTCTTAGACAGAACTTAGAAAACTGGGCTCACATGAACAGAGCTCTTTAAATTGAGCATTGTGGACTGAAGACCTGATAGTGCTTTAAAAGTGACCTGTGATTGGTTAGTCAATTACAAATACCTAAAACTCTGTGGAACAATGATACTAATATATAGTTCACACACACACACACACACACACACACACACATACACACACACACACACAGTGTCTTAGGTGTTCATGTACCAGCATATCAGAAAATGATGTGCTCTCTCAAATTGGGTTTTACTAACTGAAATATTTCTAATAATTTCCAGAAGAAATCTTTTTGGTGTGCTATATATCTTTCCACTGTGTAAAGTTTACTAAACATAATTTGCTGTTTTCTTGATGCTTCAGATCTCTCATTTATTGTTTGCTTCTTATGCCAACAGATTCTGGACTTTTATAGTTCTTCCTTTATCCTGGCTATACTTTTTCTTGATCCCAGCTTGGCTCTTTCTCGTAACTTCCGACTGTTGCATGTGCCTCTGAGATGTCACCATTTTGTTCTATGTACAGACATGTTTGAGGTTCCTTTTTTGCCCTCACGTCTTCCCCTTCACAGCTTCCAGCTACTGGGGGACTTCATCCACACCCTGAGCTCCAGGCTCTGGGCCCACTTCATCCAGCACGATGCCCGGATGTTCTGCAGGCATCTGTGTGTTCCCACTGAACTGCAACCTACTCCTGGGCCACTTGCTGCAAATAGCATCATCGCCCACAAAGCTGCCCAGAGAGAACAGCCAGATGGCCGTTTCTGACCACACTCTCACCCACCCCTACATCTCCTCAATCACCAAGTCTTGCTTCTCCCTGGCCCCCACAGCCACTGTTGTCGGGGGCACCTCCTCGCTTGGAGATGAGCAGAACAGCTTCTTGTATTCTCTCTGCCCTCGCCTTGCCTCTGCAGTTTTTCCATCCTTTCCCCACACATTTGCCAGGGTGTGCTGGCCTCGTCTTTTCCAGGCTTCTGCCTGCGTGTACCATGCACACTGCCTCTTCCTGTTATGTGAAACAAAGGCCCCATGCTGCCACCTGAGGCCCTGCCATTTGGGCATTCAGGACTGCCCTTGTCACCTCCCCAGGGACCTAGATCCTGTCGCTAGCCTCAGTCTTTGCTGTCATCTCTTCCTTCTCTGCAGTGCATACAGATACGCTCTGGGATCCTCTATCTCTAAATGTTCTCTCAACAGTCCTTTTCCAGCACTGCACTGAAACTGCTGCAGTCAGATTCACCAGTGCCCTCATTGCCAGATCCAGTTGTATCTCTGTCCCCTGGTACTTGACCTCCCAGCAACATTTGACCTGACCGAATGTCTTCTCCCTTGTGAAACACCATCTTGTGGCTTCCAAGACACCTTTGACCTCACTGGCTGTTTTGCCTGACTCTCATGCTGGCCCCTCCCCTGGCCACCTTCTAAACCTCTGTCCAGTGGAGACTCTTCTGTTCTCCATCTGTCCTCAGTTCCTCAGGGGCTCGTCTAGTCCCTGGCATTTTAAAACAGTCTGCATAATCTGATGTCCAAATGTCCAGCTGTAGCCCTGCTCTTCAACTGTGCCTCCCAGCTGCAGGCTGTGCACCTTCACGTGTCTCACACGTGTCAGACAACCATGTCCCAGTCAGAGGTCTGGTTTCCTCACCTCCTTCCAACTTGCATCTCCCTCAGTCCTCCCCATTTCAGTAAGTGCCACCTGTCCTTCCAGTTCAAGCCAAAACCCAGGCGGGAATCCTGTTAGACATTCTCATTTCCCTTTACTCTCTCTCTCTAAGCCCAGCAAGTCCTGCTTGTCTGTTCTTCTGCTGAACACAGCCTGGTTCCTTTCATCCCTCTCTACATCATTCATCTTCTGTCTGGTGTATTGAAAGAGTTTCCTGTCTTGTCTCTCAACCTCTTCCTTATGTCCCCTAGAATTTTTTCTCCACACAGCAGCCAGGCATTTTAAAAATGTAAGTCAGATCATATCATTCCTTTGTAGAAAACCCTCCAGTGGCTTCCCATTGGAGGTTTACAGGATGTGGCCCCGCCTACCTCACTGACCTCATCTAGGTAAAGACAGGTAGGTATTGGCTTTGAAAATAGTTTTTTAAAAAACTTTTTGCTTATCCAAAACTTTTTGCTTTATTTGAAATTTATGCATAGATTTTGCTGAGTTTCCCCAAAAGGGCACCACACGCTCGTTGTACTTACTCTGGTTTTCAGAACTCTCACACTAGCTGGGTAACCAGCCCTGCTTTCCATCTCTCTCCTTCACCTTTTAGCCCACTCTCTGCCTTACTCAGTTCTATAGTTACTTACTCAATTCTTTCCTATGACAAACATTTACTGAATCCCTATTCATGTACCCAGCTCTGTTCTAAAGGACAGGGATACACTGGTAAATAAAAGAAGATCCTTCTCGGAGTGACCCATAAGCATTTTACATTTAATTGTGTGTGATAGATCCTATAGTGGAGAGGTACAAGGTAAAATGATGATGGGCTTTTAAAGAATCAGTATTGCTTGGGGATTGGGGAAGATGCGTGAAGGGATGAAATACGGAACCAGACCCCTAGATAGAAAGAGGGACGGGACTTGGGTGTCAGTCTTGGGGAAAGGAACAGTGGCTCAGCTGGAGCCCTTCCTGGCCCAGAGATTTGCTGGGCATCTTCATTTCCTGCTTCCTCCTTCTTAAATAGTGTGACCAAAAAGTATTGAGGTATAATCCTGTTATCAACTATAATACTGTGCCACGCTTAGAATAGATAATTTGAATTAGGGCTTCATTCAAAAGGAATTGCCACCTAAGATAGAAGGTCATTAGGGAGCTGTCTGGCTATATTTGGCTTTCCACATCTTTGAGTAGACTTCAATCTGCTCTGGAGGTCATATCCCTTTCTTTACCTTCTTTAGTGCAAAACTGGTAAATAAAAAAGTTGCTTTGTTTGGTGTATTTTTATTTTGGCGAGTTTTCATTTTTCTCTCAAAATTGATTTAATCGTGGCTAAGGGGAAAACTGAAGAGGCAGCTATCACAAAGACTTTGCATTTCTGAAGAATTGTTCAAACTTTAGAAATAAAATTACTATAGAAAGAAGCCATCTAGCAAAGTCTTTATGTCCTTGAATTTCATGTTCAAGAACTCTCATCTTGAAAAATGACTTGACCAAAGGAATTATCATAGGAAGAAGGTAGGAACAGACATCATATTAAAACACTTCAATGTATGACTAGGATGAAATGACAGCTGTCAAAAGTTGATCCTTTTAAAGGATCCCACTAAAATGTTGGCCCTCGTTAAAATTCCAATTTTTCATTTGACAAATGGTTACCAAAAACTTGACCACCACTACAAAGAGGATTCATGTATCCAGCGTTCTTCCCATTTCATATATCATGGAGTTTGTGGCTCTACTGGTATGGATAGTCAGCATGGCCCTCAGCTCACACTAAAATAGGAAACCCACTAACTGCCATACTTTCCCCACCCCTCACCAACACCTTTGCTTATTCCTCTCTTCCTGGACTGCAGTTCAGTGGCAGGAAGAATGAGAATAGCTTTTCAAGTCCTGAATATAAATTATTCATTTTCTCAGAATTCAGTATTCTATAAGCAAGATTTTTGTTTTTGTTTTTTTCCTGCCTGTGAGAATGCCTGCCTGCAGCTACCAATGAGTCCCATTTGGGGAGAGCATGCTACTCTCTTAGAATAGAAGGAATATTTTTGAGGAGTCATTACAGAGTATAAGTAGAGAGGAAGTGCCATTAATTTTACTGGGGCTTTTGTTTTGGCTTATTGGGGTATACATTTCATTTTAGAGGTAAGGTTGAACCTGAATAGAAATTTGAAAGGAATCGAGTTCATAAGCGTGCCCAGAGAAATGCAAAGAAAAACAGACATACGATGCCATGATGTACTAGCTAATATTATATTTCACCATTTTAGTCCATCATCTGATTTACACATTGGTTAAGATTTGCTGTTTTGAGGATATCTTCATTGTAATGGAGGGCAACGTCACCGTCTTTCTGGAGAGTGTTTTGGGATGAACAGTGCGGGCCGCCGCACGGGAAGGGGGGGGTGCACCCTCGCCGGTGGGCTAGTGCTGGAGCGACACAGGTGCCCTTCTGGTCACTCTCGCGCTGGCCGTCTCATCGTGGGTCCCGTCAGGACCAGCACAAAGGCAGTGGGATCCTTTCTAAATAGATACACCAGAGCACAAGAGTCCGCTTCTCCCACGATGCCAGGAGTGGGGCAGGAGCCATCGGGGACGAGTGTGGCCCCCCATTCCTCCCAGCGGGTGACGTCTGTAGTTGACGAAGCATTTTACTTGGCATACATACTAAAAATAGAAACGATTAATTCCAGGGATCTGGGTTGGCCTGTTAAACATGTCAAATATTGACAAGAATTTGGTTTGTGAAACTAACTCCCGCACTCACTCGCTACAGAAGCAGGTCCTCACCTCCCTGGTCGAGACATCCCGGGAGGGGGCGGGGCTTGGTGGAGGACCCTGCCCCCCACGCCGTGCAG